CCCGGAGGTCCGATGCCTATTCCCAGACTTGCTCTCCTTCCATCTTCCCCATCTTAGAAACGGTGACACCATTCACACAGTGTGGTTCAGGCGGAAGATCTTGGGGCATCCCTGATCCCTTTGCTGTCCCACCCACAGCAGGGAATCCTATCAGCTCCACCTTCAAACAGCGTGTCAGGCATGAGGACTTCCCACGTCGGCCACCCCTGCCTCCGGCGCCCGAGCAGGAGCCGCACTCACCCCACACCAGCCACACTCCAGGGCTTTGTGAACCCCCTGAGCATTTCCCTATCATTTCCCTCTGCCTGCATCACTCCCTCACAAAACACTCATGGGTCTCCTTCCCTCGATTTATTGAGTTCTGTCCAAATGATATGTCTTCAGAGAGCCCTGCCCTGTCCACTTTCTGTAATTCTTTATCTCTGTCCATACTTTCCTTTTCTACATAGCATGTCATGACCTTAAACCACATCTTTAGTTGTGTACGTTTATGGTCTTCCCATGACTGTGTGCGCTCCAGGAGCGTCGGGACGTCACCTGTCTGTGGTCCTGTGACTCCAGTGCTAGAGGGAGTGCTCAGGAAATACCTGCTGAGGAATGAACGAAGCGAATTTGAATTAACATTCCTAGAAATGATCACTGAAACTCAAGCTGAAACCACTGATCTGGCAGGCTGCATAGGCACAAGATAAAATTAATGGACTGGAATACTGACATCAGAAATTTTACCATGATGGGGTGCCTGGGTGGCTCAGTTGGTTAAGCGACTGCCTTCGGTTCAGGTCATGATCCTGGAGTCCCAGGATCGAGTCCCGCATCGGGCTCCCTGCTCGGCAGGGAGTCTGCTTCTCCCTCTGACCTTCCTGCCTCTCATGCTCTCTCTCTACCATTCTCTCTCTCTCTCAATAAATTAAAAAAAAAAAAAAGAAATTTTACCATGATGAAGCATGAAAGGACGAAGTTGGAAATTTTGAAAAAAAAAAGTTACTTTATATAAAAGATAAATATATACATATAAAGAAAAAGTAGGGTTGTTTTTTTTTACTGTAGTAAAACACATACATAACAAAATCGATTTTAACCACTTTTAAGTGTATGATTCAGTGGCATTAATCACTCATTCAGGTGCTTAGTGATTATTTGTGTATTTGCTTTGGAAAAAATGTCTGTTCAAATCCTTTGCCCATTTTTTACTTGGGTTGTTTGGGTTTTTGTTATTGAGTTGCAGTTCTTCATGTATTCTGGATATTAAGCTCTCATCAGATATATAGTTTGCAAATATTAGGGAATCAGGGTGTGGGAAGGGAGAAGCGGGGTCACTCAAGTGAAACCCAGGGCTTTGGGAGAGAGAAACCCTAACCCTAACCAGTGGGGACAGCCTAATTCCTTCTCCGGCTATTTGGCTGATAGCTGTGTGATGCAGCTGCAAGTATGTTTATTCAGGACGGATGTCTTTTGAAATGGATGCCTCCGTAATCAAAAGCTGAATGTTAGGCACTCATGTGATAGTATGTACATAGGTACGTCCTATATTATATATATATAGTTATATAATATTGTTATATGATATACAACATTCTATATAATATTCTACAATAATGATATAACATTACACAATATTGGTTGAGTGGTCAAATCAGGAAGAGAAGGAGGTTGTTGTGTAATTAAGGATCCCAAGATGAGATCATCCTGGACTATCCGCATGGGCCCTAAATCCGATGACAAGTGTCCTCATAAGAAACATGGAGGAGAGACACATAGAGCAAGAGGAGAAGGCCCCTTGGCCACAAGCCAAGGGACACACGCAGCCCCCAGAACTAGATGGAGCAAAGGAAGAGTCTCCCCTAGAGCCTGCAGAGGGAATGCAGCCCTGCGGACGCCTGGATTTTGAACTTCTGACTTCCAGAACTCTAAGAGAATAAATCTCTCTTGTTTTAAGCAACCCAGTTTATGATAATTTGTTACGGCCACCCTAGGAAACTCCTACAGATTTTGGTCCTGGGAAGCCAAGGTGCTGCCATACAATATGCCTCACACTGTGGACGTGGCTTTGGAACTGGGTGATTGGATAGAAGTTAGAAGAATTTTGAGCTGCGTGGGAGATAAAGCCTGGACTTCCTGAAGAGACTATTGGTAAAAATATGGACTGTCTGTCTGTCATGAGGTTTCATGCCATCAGACAAGAGGGTCCCTCACACATCCTTCCTGCATTTGCATGAAACCTCATGACAGACATGGGAGACCCACAGAGTTTTTGAGAATGTTGTAGCAGCAGGACGCTGCCAGGTTGGCCTGAGGGACAGAGACAAGACAAAGTAAAAGAGGACTGTGAGATTTCCAGAATTCTATAGCCAGAAAATGTGCTGATAGAGCTACTCAGTTATAAGAATATGCTGCCTTTCAAGAAAAAGGAAGAATGATTCTGGGGGCAGAGGCACGAACACAGAGGTAGAAGCTGGAGGTGTGGGAACAGGGGCCCGTGGAGCTGTGGGCACAGAAAATGCAGCTCCAAGCCATAGAGGATAATTCTCAGACCTTGAAACCAAATGAAACCTGTTCTCCTGCCTTCTTAACTTGTTTGGGATGGATGACCCCTTTATTCCTTCCGTTTTCTCCCTTTTGGACTGGGAATGTCTATCCTGTACCTGTCTCACCATTGCATTTTGTATGTGATCTTCCAGTTTCACAGGTCAATAGACGGAGAAGAACTTTGTCCCCGGATGGATGATACCGGGACTCACCCACATCCCTAGTCTGATTCTGATGACTTCAGTGATGAGACTTGGGACTTTTTGAGCTACTGATGTGTAAATGTGGGTTAAGATTTTGGTTGGATGGGGTGAATGTATTTTGCATGTGGGACAGATGGGAACTGGGTGGCCAGAGGTTGGACTGTAGTGGGTTGAGTGGTGGGACGGATGACCCCTTTATTCCTTCCATGTCTACATGTCTACATCCTAAACCCTGGGACCTGTGGTTATGGCCTTACTTAGAAAAAGTTTCTTTGTAGATGTAACTAAGTTAAGGCCCTTGAGATGAGATCATCCTGGATTATTATGGTGGGCCCTTAATCCAATGACAAATGTCTGTTAAAAGGCACATGGAGGGCAGCAGAGAAGGGACGGCCGTGCAAGGGCAGAGGCAGAGATGGTGGTTATGCAGCCGCAGCTAAAGAAAAGACACAGAAGCTGGACGAGACAAGGAAGGATTCTTCCCCGGAGGCTTTGGAGGGAATGCAGCCCTACCAACACCTTGATTTCGGACTTCTGGCCTCCAGAATTGTTAGATAATAAATTTCTGTTTCAAGCCACCCAGTTTGTGATCATTTGTCATAGCCCATACGTCTCATCCTATAAAAATATAGTTTCCAATGTAATTAAAGAACCAGGTGTAAACAAAAACAAACTGGTGCAAGTGTGGGAAGATAGCCTAGGTCTGGAAGAGATGCCCTTTCTGAGCAAGATCTGAATCCAGAGGCAATCTGGGAACAGTCTGACACACTACATAAAATCTAAATTGTAGGGCGCCTGGGTGGCTCAGTTAAGCGTCTGCCTTCGGCTCAGGTCATGATCCCAGGGTCCTGGGATCGAGCCCCGCATCGGGCTCCCTGCTCCACGAGGCGTCTCCTTCCCCCACTCCCCCTGCTTGTGTTCCCTCTCGCTGTGTCTCTCTCTCTGTCAAATAAATAAATAAAATCTTAAAAAAAATAAAACAAAACAAGATAAAATAAAATCTAAATTGTAGGTGTGACAGAAGACAACATAAACGGCTAGAAAGAAACTGGGCAAAAATGTCACCTATAAAAGAGGAAAGATATAAGATACTCAGAATTTAGAAAGAGCTCCTTATGAATCCATAAGAAAATGAAAAATCACCAAAAGAAAAATGGGCAAAAAATATGAATTGGTGATTCACAGAAGTGCTACAAATGCGAAGAAAAGTTGCTCAACCTCACGAATAACCAGAGGCATAAAAAAGAAAATTCAGTGAGGTGTTACTTAATCTCTATTAAAATGACAAAAGTTTTAAAAAGATTGATTATATCCATCAATGAGCTAGAGTGTGGCCACACTTTCAAACATTTTAAAGTGGTTGAGCCATTCTGGAGAACACTCTGGCAGTATTTACCAAAGTTAATGCTGTGCCTATTCTGTGACTAAAATTCCACTTTGAGAAAGCTCTTCAGGAATATTCCCACATGAACAAGAAGATATATGCACATAAACATTTGCTGCAGCATTGTTGGTAACAGAGGAAGAAGTGGAAAACAACCTAAGCGTTCACCATCAGGAAAATATTTAAGTAAAATGGAACAAGGAATATATATATATAACACATTATTCCAAGACACAGTCTTCATTAAGATTAAAAACACAAGATTTATGGACAAATGGGAAAAACACTACAAGAAAAAAATCAAGTTGTAGATCAATATTGTCCCTAGGGTCCCTGTTGGATTTAAGACATCCAATCCAAGTTAAGTGTGTGCACATCACGTTTGCATGTGCCTACAAAGGTTCCAGAAGATTCCACACCAAACTGCTCTATGACTTAATTCCCGCCAAGCGTTGGTCTATACAGAACACATCGCAAGTGCTATAGAAAAGGCGGGTATTTTTATTTCTATTTCTGTATTTTTTAGGATAATACATTCCTGGGTTACTTCTGTCATTTAGTAGTAGAGAGCACGTCTGTGATTACAGAACACTACCGGCCCAGGGCAGGGGCCATTTATTATTAACCCCTCCCTCCCGAGAGCCTGGCACGGGTCCTGGCACAGCACGGCTGCAGAAGAACACTTGTTCCCACCCCTCCCGGGCGCCAGGTGAGACCCCGAGGTCTACACGCACTGTCTCTGAGGCCCCCGCCTCCCGCTTTCCTCCAGCGCGCAAGCGCCAGGAGGCGGTAACCAGCGCTCGCCAGCCCCTCTCCAGGCGCTACGACGTCATTGGGCTGCGCCGCGCGCTGTTTGACGTACCTGCGACCTGCTTTTCGGAAGGGAGTTCCAGTGGCTGAGTATGGCGACCGTCGCGGAGCAGTGGGTACTGGTGGAGATGGTACAGGCGCTTTACGAGGTGAGCTTGACTGCTCGAGCGGCCCACGACCACACCAGGCCCTTCCGGGGTGGGACGGGTCTGGTGGATTTGTGGCCTGAGTCCTGGGCGGGGTTGGCTGGGTCACGTCCCGACCCTCAGCTTCTCTGGCCGGAGGGGCTCGCGGGGGAGGCACGGGCGGGAGCGGGAACCGAGGGTCTCCTTTGGGGCTCATGAAAGAAACAGGTGGGAGGGGGCGCAGGAGCGAGGCTGGTCTTGAAAAACCAGAGTTGGGACTGGGGTGGTGAAAATAGAGTGGAAGATCTGAGTCTGGGAAGGTCCTAGGGAATTCAGGTCCTTGGGAGTGTGGAACAGGTAATAGGGGACAGAATTGTTGTATGTTGGTGTTTGTTTTTGTCGGGGCGAGGGATTACGAAAGCCGAATGATGAATTGGGAATGTGAAATAGTTTGTCATTCTCCCACATGCGTCCCGTTTTCTGTCTTGTAAAGATACAACACTTTTTAGAGATTTTTAAAGGCAGAATAGTTAAGAGTTTTGAAAGGCTATTTCAGGTATGTTAGATAATATGATAGCAGAACTTCAGTCTTAGAGAATGTTCATTCACTTGAAATGTATCTACAGAGCTTCGCTACCCTGTCCAGTAGAACTTTCTGCATGTTCTGGATCTGAGCTATTCAGGGTAGTAGCCACTAACCAACCACATGTGGCTAGTGCAAGTGAGGGACTAAATTTTTCATTTAATTTAAATTAGATATATATGTACACAGTTACATGGTAACTGGTGGCTACGGTATTGGGACACAGCACAGATGTAGACACTGGGGATAGTGCAGTGAACAGAAAGGCAGAAATTCCTGTGCTTATAGAGCTCATATTCATTTAAAGGGAATCTCAGGTTTCTTTTGATAGTTTTCTAAAAACTGAACATAGCTGCTTACTGGCAGGGGTGACGGTGGTGTCTTCCACTGCAAGACTTATCAGGACTTGCTGAAAAACAGTTGACATAACAGATGTGGTGTAAGTGATGGCCAATATTAGCCTAACTATAGTAACTAAGATAAGAGCCACTGACATTGAAGTTTTTTTAAAAAGTGAACAATTTTCTGTTCTATGTCGTTGCTTCCTTTTTTTAAAATTTTATTTTATGTTATGTTATTGCGTCCTTTTTGAGGACTGCATAACTGATCAAGAGTGAGGCGTTCTCTTGAATGTAACATTTCCAGGAAAAAAAAAGCTGCATTTGTGATTTTGATTAATTCACTAGACAATTAGTATCTCAGTTTTTCTCAGGATGATTTCATTGTGGAGCAGAGATGCTTAGTGACTTGGGCAGATGCTTACCTACTAGAATACAATTATTGAGAAAACAAAAATAATATTTTTTTCTTCAAGATTTTATTTGTCAGAGAGCGAGAGTGAGCTCAAGCAGGGGGAGCAGCAGACAGAGGGACAAGCAGAATCCCCGCTGAGCAAGGAGCTAGATGCAGGACTGGATCCCAGGACCCTCGGATCATGACCCTGAGACCCTGAGCCAAAGTCAGATGCACAACCAACTGAGCCACCCAGGCGTCCCAAGAAAACCAAAAGAATATTTAGGCTAGAGTCCTTATTCTTAAATGAATTATTTTCAAGGGGGATCAGTATATTTAAAAATTATCTTAAAGAGAAATTTCCGTTCTTGTTCCTAGGCTTGTTAGTTACAGTTAGTGTATAGAATTTGAGGAGTCTTATACCCAAAAGAGAAATAATAGTATGTGTATGTAAAATATGTATGTAGTTAGAAAGATAATTGTATATTGACTTAGAAGTTTACCTATGAATTTGTCTGCAGTTTTCCTGGCTCCACATCCTGGAGTTTTTTTTTTTAAACTATGATGAATCACCTTCACTTTCTTTTTGTCTAATGTTTGCAAATAATTTGCATTTACGTTTCTAAATACCTCTTTAAATGACTTTCTAGTGACAGCCCATTGGAGTAGACCACTCTGTAACTGACTGGGGTTTAGTCACTATCCGGAACCTTCCACATGCACTTAGTGTGTCTAGTTGTGCAAAACAGAACAGTCAGTCCAGCCTTTATCTTGGAAATGTAGTTGAGAAGAAGACCTGGCATGGATAATTTCAGTAAGGTGTCTTTTTGCCTATTGACTTGGAACACACTGCATTCTTTTGGGGAACTGCTGTAGGAAAAAAACCTGCCATTTCTTTAGGCATTTATAAATTCATTTTTCTCAGCCATGTTCCGAGAAGGATTTAAAGAGCCTTATCAGGGATACAGAAAATATAGTAAGATGTGCGAAACTCTAAGAATTGTGGAAACTGAATTTCAGATAACTCTCCTAACTTATCCATGGTACACTGGGGTGGTAGAAGGCTAGCAAAGCTGTGAAATGTTGGTTACTGCCCTTTCCCACCAGTAGAAACGTACATTATCTGAAGGATCTGATGGTTGGTATTGTTTCACATGTTGGGATTCTGCATCTGATTTTATTTTAAGAATTAAATTTCTTTCCTATAGAGGTTTTAAAACTGTGCTATTAGAGATTTTTCATGTGAAAGAGAAATTGCTGACTGTTAGAAATGGGGAAAGGACTGAGTAGAAATGAAAGGAGTTTTGAAAATAAATCTTAATAAGTAATAGGTTAAAGGTCATGGGAGGCAACATATATGAGTGCATTACATTTTATGTGCAGATTTTGGAAGTGTTTTTTTCTCTCTTTTTTTTAATATATCCAATTTTTTTTTTTAAAGATTTTATTTATTTGAGAGAGAGAGCACATGAGAAGGGGGAGGGTCAGAGGGAGAAGCAGACTCCCCGCTGAGCAGGGAGCCCGATGCGAGACTCGAGCCAGGGACTCCAGGATCATGACCTGAGCCGAAGGCAGTCTCCTAACCAACTGAGCCACCCAGGCGCCCGGAAGTGTTTATTTCATTTCTTTTTTGGTTTTTGACTCATTCTTAGGCTCCTGCTTACCATCTTATTTTGGAAGGAATTCTCATTCTCTGGATAATCAGACTTCTGTTCTCTAAAACTTACAAATTACAAGAACGATCTGACCTTACAGTCAAGGTAAGAAATTAAATCTCTGTCATTATTCAGTGTATGATTACAGTTACTACATATTTCCAAAAAGTATTTGTGGTGACTCACCTATGTATGTTAAAATATTTTCTGTAATGTAAAAAAAATCAAGGGAAAGGAAATATCAGGGAAGCAAAATATGGGGAAGCCAGAGGTAAAGCAGACACCCAGAGGAGCACCCTGCCACAGAGCACTGCACTTTGTTAGGGAAGCAGCAGTCTTAGGGACAGACGGTAGGAGGGAAGCATGGGCAGCAACAGGATTTCGATTGTCAATGTACAGGGTGACGTGAGCTGCTCAGGAAGAGCACCACTGTTTCTGAAACCCAAACGAAAGTTTTCTCTGTGTTCTTCATAAAGGAAATTCGGAGTTGGAAAGAATCCTCCCACCTCCCCACCCCAAACTGAATTTTGATGCGTTCTCTGTAGTAAGGGACCCAGCCCAAGCCAGGCAAACCTTAGGAAGCAGAAGTGTCTAGGGGGCCCGTGGCACTGCCCATATGGAGTCTTGTTCGCCTGAAGGATGAGGGGCTTGTGGAAAAGAAGCTTATCCTTCTCACTCCAGTGGGAGCACCTGGGAACGGTGCCCCAGTGCAAGAGGGAAGAGCGGTTCTGACCGCACTGTGGTTTCTATCACTCGAATCCGTTCCCTGTCCAGCCTCTGTAGCGTTGGGCCAGGGTGCTTAGAGAAACCAGTGACTGTGAGAAAGGTTTTTCCATGAAAATCTGTACAACTTTGGTTCACAAGGCATCACTAAGTACAACGTGGAGTTGGGGTAGAATTAATGCAGCAGTGTGGCGATCACTTTCCGCATTGCACCGGCTGGCTGCCGCCGTCCTGATCGTTCATATTAATCGTAGGACGGTCAGGCAGTGTCCCCCAAAGGACATGAAGCACATGGTTCTTAGGGCAAATATAATTTGGAAACCTGGCCAAAGCAGAGTAGGGGATGTCTTTTTATGTGATTTCATGTAACCTTTACTAGGCCAGTGGATGTTTGAACCTCTGTTTGGAGAGATGCCCTCACCTTGACCATGGATCCTTCCCTCCCCCACCGTTTTCTCCTGACTACCTTGTGGGATTAGTGTGCCATGGAACACTCTGGATAGCACTGCAGTAAGATTGGGCCATCCAGGGCAGAGGTCCTGTCTCTGCTTTTTCTCTTGGCATTTCAGAACTCCTTGTGAACAATCAGGTGGCTGGTTTCTGGCTCAGCTTTTTAAGCAGTTGATCATTCCTGGTATTTTGAGTTTTTGTTTATAAAGCTGGCAGTCCACACATCTATACATTTTTTAAAAGAATGACTAGACATAACTTTAGAGTAATCCTCTGAAAGCTGAACTTAGCAAGATTTAGTAGTCACAGACATCTTACCCTCAAAGCTGTGGAAGAAAAAAAACTGTGTGTTTTTAAAGCTTAACTTCTGGCAACATAGATGCAGTGCCCTTCTGTTGTACGGATCTGCAGTCTCTTGAATACGAGGGGATCTTGAGGTGCTTCTGACTTCTGGCCCATGGTCACAGGTGGACAGTGTGGGTGACGTACTCCGGCCTCGTGGGCTGCCACACGGTCACTGGCAGAAACAGATGAGCAATTTACTGGTCGCTTTGTAACCGAAGTGTGGGAACCAAATAGTCACTGTCCGGTGACCAGCACCCTGCTGTATTCTATTTCCTTCTCTCCCATAGGAAAAGGAAGAATTGATTGAAGAGTGGCAGCCAGAGCCTCTCGTTCCTCCCATCTCGAAAGACCATCCTGCTCTCAACTACAACATTGTTTCAGGGTAAAGTGGTTTGCTTCTCTAAGGACTTATATTTGGTTTCTTATAGGTGTACTCATCAAACCATACAGAGGTTTATGTAGTATTTCTTTTATAACAGAAATAAAATATTCAGAAATCTCTGAAGATCAGAAACTCTCTGCTTTAGTGCCCAGTATATGACTCTCTATTAATGGTGTATGGACATTTTTTATAGTCTCCTATTTGGGCATTGCAGTTTGTCCCTTTTTTCCATCCAAAAAAAAGAAAAATTTTTTTTTGCAGAATAATACATGCTCCTGGTAATACTTCAAATAGTGAGACACACTTGAAATGAAAAGCAGCACTCCTGCTTTTTCTCAGCTTGATTGTTACTGATTTTAGATTCATAGTAGGCTACCTTTGTAGCCAGATATTAATAGTGTGCTCACACTTGTGCTTAGTGATTAGCTGTAGACAGCGGCACTTGACTTTCACAGTTCGAATTCTGAAACTTGACCTTCCTTGTGCTGCCTCACTCCCTGCTTCCAAGGTCTGATCTGTCTTTGTGTTTACTTTTTCTATTGCTAGTCTTTGCTTCGCCATATATGCTTTCTTAAATTAAGAAGTATTTTAAGTTTTACAGGAACTATCTGACCCATGTATACCCACCATCCAGAATAAATAGGCATTAACATTTTGCTATCTTTATTTCAAATCTACCTTAAAAAAAAAGAAATAAAACATTCCAGATACAGCTAAAGAAATGCCTTCCCATCTACCACTTAACTCTTATCTCCCACGAAGGACAACCATTATCATGAAGTTGGTGGCTGGCTTTCTTTCACTTACATTTATACGTTTGGTTTTTTTTTTTGTAAATTAATTAATTTATGTATTTATTTATTTATCTTAGGGAGAGAGAGGCAGAGGAACAGGGAGAAAGAAGAGGGAATAGGTTTTTTAAATGATGCATAGGTGTAAGTTTTTATGAGAAAGACTCCACGCTCAGCACAGAGCCTGATGCGGGGCTTGAACTCAAGACCTGGTGATGGTGTCCTGAGCCAAAATTAGGAGTTGGACACTTAACTGGCTGAGCCCCTCAGGCGCCCCTATATTTATACTTTTAACACTTATCCCTGACACCATGAAATTATTCAGTATTTTGTCTAAAAATATGATGCGGCATATTCTACTGAGTGTATCCTTCCATTTCTGGTCTGATGTAAGGGAAGCTTGCCTTCTTCACTCCATGGATTTCTGTGGTCATACAAAATTTTTACGGGTTCTGAACTCTCAGACTTACTCATCATTAATGCTGTGGTTAAGAAGTCCTTCCCTACTCCGTGAGGTCGAATGTGCCTCTTTCTGTATGGTGGTCAGCTATCCCAGCATTCTTAATTGAATTGTCCGTTGTTTACCTACTGAAGAAATTTCCCTTTTTTTGTATACTATATGCCCTTCTAACGGGTCTGTTTCTGGCTATGTTTCTCCTCTGTCGGCGTATTTGTCTCTCCCTCTGCCAGAACTTCATATAAATAGCACAGCTTAAGAACAAGTCTTGACTAGAGTGAGCCCTTCACCTCCCTGTCCTTCAGAATTGCTTGGGCTACTTGCAGCTCTATTCTTCAGTGTCAGTTTCAGTTTAACTGATCAAGTTTGACCAAAAAACGAGTTTGGGTTTGTGACTAGCAGTGCACTGATTTGGATTCATTGGAATCTTGCTGATACTGAATCTTGCCACTATGTGCCTGGTGTATCACTTTGGTCTTTCGTGTCTTACAGTGAAGTTCTGTAACTTTCTTCATAAAGACTGCTTATCTTTTTTTTTTCCCCCTACTTTTTACATTGAAATAAGAGTAGATTCACATGTGGTTGTAAGAAGTAATACAGGGAGATCCCACTTACCCCTCATCAGTTTCCGCCCATGGTAACGCCTGCTTAACAACCAGGACATGGATGTTGTGTGTCTTCTAATGGATTTGTCTCTAGGAACCAGAGCGTGTTCATTTCTCCTGTTCCTGTGTTACTGCGCTGGCTAAGACACCTCCCATGCAGTTGGATAGGAGTGGTGACAGGAGCCTCCATGTCCTGGTGACTTCTGAGAGATGACCTGTACCAAGTTACGGGCCTTCCTCTCTCTTCTCAGTTTGCTAAGGGAGCTTTTTCGTTAGTTTTTTTTTTTTAAGTCAGAATGTTAAATGCTATCCTATGTTTTCCTGTATCTGTTGAGATGATGGTATGATCTCTCTGCTTTAGTCAGTTACTATGTTAAATTATACTGATAGGTTTTTTAAATGATGCCTAGGTGTAAGTTTTTATGAGAAAGACTGCAGCCCACCATGCCACCCTTCCTCACCCCAGATTCCCACTCTCCAAGTAATCACTTTCTGTTTCTGAGAATTACCTGTATTTTTCTAAGGAATGTGCTTATGCTGTTATTTCTTGGTGGCGTCCTTTCTTTTCCAGTTTTAATTTTACCCATTCATTGCAGGAGGTAAGGACTGGCTCTCTGAAAACACACCCACACTCCCAGCCTGTAGTCGTCCCTCCACTGCCTTCATGTGGTCGAGAAAGGTGGCCCCTGACCCAGGAAAGGCAGCAGCCTGCTGTGGCCCCCGGCTATGGTGGGGCTCCCTGGGCCACACGCAGGCCTCTGTTCCTCCCTTCTCCCCAGCACAGATTTGTTATTACACCAGGTGGCCCTGGATTACTTAGTGTTGACACTTTTGTGACCACATTAGTATCATTCATGAGTTAAGCTTAGCATCACCATTTTTTTTCAGTATGTAGACAATTGTAATTACATTTTCTTCCTTGTATGCTTTTGTTTTCCTTGTTTCCTGCTTGCTTGCTTGCCTCTCCAAGTCAACCTAATTCATCCTGTCATCTGCCTCTAGGAGCGTCAGTCTCCATTCAGAATGTTCCCATGTACGTTATCTGTGGGGTTCATTTCCTGTCTTCCTGAAACCTTTGTCCTGCCTTGGCCTGACTGGTGCTTGCTTCCTCGAGCTCCCTCTCCGGGCAGCCTGGGCCCTCCCATCACTCTCGGCTCAGGAATTCCCTTTGTCCCTCTCCTGCCTTGGGCAGCTCTTTCCCGGCTTCCTCCCTCACATTAGAGTCTACATAGCCTCCTGAGGAAGGGCTATGAACGGTACATTTTTTTGAAAACTTACACATCCTTTTTTTTTTTTTTTTAAGATTTTATTCATTTATTAGAGAGAGAGCACAAGCAGGGGGAGCGGGAGAAGTAGACTCCCCACTGAGCAGGGAGCCCAATGTGGGGCTCCCTGAGCCGAAGGCAGATGCTTCGCTTACTGAGCCACCTAAGCGCCCTGAAACCTTACACATCTTAAAATTGTTTTTTATTTTACTTTTTAGACTACAGTGATTGTTTTATCGGTTCTTATTGATCTGTTAGACACCTCAGTGTCTGGTGATCCTTAGCATATATATGGTTTTCACTATATAGGATATTTTCATAGTAATTAACAGCATTTTGTAAACAGTCTGCAAAAACCACCAAAAAATCCTGAAGCCTGTTTTGCTGTTGTTGATAAATTTACTTTTCAGTGAATGCAAAAGTGCTATTCATTCAGTACCGAGTTAACATGAGTGTGACTGAATTTACTTATCTTGAATAGATTTTTTTTTCTTTCAATAACAGCCTTATTGACATATAATCCACAGACCATGAAATTCACTCTTTTTTTTTTTAAGATTTTTATTTATTTATATGACAGAGAGAGAGAGAGCACAAGCAGGGGGAGCAGCAGCAGAGGGGGAGGGAGAAGCAGGCTTCCTGCTGAGCAGGGAGCCCGATGCCGGGCTCGATCCCAGGACCCTGGGATCATGATCTGAGCCGGAGGCAGATGCTTAACAGACTGAGCCACCCAGGCGCCCCGAAATTCGCTCTTTTAATAAACCATGGTTGAGTGGGTCTCAGTGTATTCATAGAGTTGTGCAACCATTGCCACCATCTAATTTCAGAGTATTTTTATCACCCCGAAAAGAAATCCCACACTCACCCTCATTCACTCTCCACTTTCCACTTTCCCCAGCTACTTTTCCCTGACACCTACTAATCTACTTTCCATGCATTTGGCTGTTCTGGGCTTTTATATAAAAGGAATCATGCAATATGTGGCCTTTTGTGTCTGATTTCTTTCACTTAGCATCATATCTGCAAGGTTTGTCCATGTCATTGTAGCATGTGTCAGTTTTGTGACTGAATAATAAAATATTTCACTCTGAGTATATCACATTTTGTTTGTACATTCATCAGTTGATGGACGTTGAGGGTTGTTTCCACTTGGGAGTATATGAAAGGAGAAAAATTATGTATGTACATAAACTCCCATGGGCATTTGTGTGCACATTTTTTTAAATTTTACCCTTTTTTTTAAGATTTTACTTATTTGAGAGAGAGAGAACGCGTACACAAGCAGGGGTAGGGGCAGAAGCAGACTCTACACTGAGCAGGGAGCCCGACGCCGGGCTCCATCCCAGGACCCTGGGATCAAAACCTGAGCCACAGGCAGATGCTTAATGACTGAGCCACCCAGGCGCCTCTGTATACATATTTTTTCTGTGGACATATGTTTTTATTTCTCTTGAGTATACACCTGAGAATGGAATTGTTGAGGTTTGTGGAAACTTACTTGGAGGAACCACCAGTCGGGTGTTTGTTTTACAAAGTGGGTGAATCATTTTCCATTCCCACCAGCAATGCATGAGAGTTAAAATTTCTCCCTGTCTTGGCCAAAACTTACTGTCTTTCATTGTAGCCATCCTGCTAGATGGGAAGTGATAATCCCCCTGTGGTTGGGATTTGCATTTCCCTATGATTAATGATGTTGAGCATCTTTTCATGCACTAATTGGCCATTTATATGTCTTTTCTGGAGATTAACCTACTTAAGTCATGTGCCCATTTTTTTAATTGGGTTATTTGCCTTTTTATCATTGAATTATAAGAGCTCTTTGTATATTTTGGATACCAGTCCCTTATCAGATATATGACATGCAAATATTTTCCCCCATTAT